GTGTGTGTGTGTGTGTGTGTGTGTGTGTGTGTGTGTGTGTGTGTGTGTGTGTGTGTGTGTGTGTGTGTGTGTGTGTGTGTGTGTGTGTGTGTGTGTGTGTGTGTGTGTGTGTGTGTGTGTGTGTGTGTGTGTGTGTGTGTGTGTGTGTGTGTGTGTGTGTGTGTGTGTGTGTGTGTGTGTGTGTGTGTGTGTGTGTGTGTGTGTGTGTATGTGACCCTCTTATAACTTTTGAAAGGCTTGGCCGATTTCATCGCGGTTGACGCCATTCGGAAGGGCTTGATCAAACTTAGATTTTGAATACCCTTTGGACCGATTCGAACCGGTAGATTTTGAGAAATCTCAAAAAAAATACAAAAAGAAACTTTTTGAAATGTGGTTTTTTTGGAATTACTTTTAAATGGCTTCACCGATCAATTCCAAAATCTAATCAGCTCTTGAGATCAAAAAACCACGTCGGTCACCGCAATCCCGATCAAAATCAGTTGATTCGTTCGTGAGTTATCGTTGTCGAAAGAAAACCGAAAAAAATGGTTTTTCGGAATTACTTCGAAATTCTTGGCTCGATCGATTTGAACTTGAAGATTCTTTATGGGGCTTTAAAAACTGCGTCAAATGCCGCCAACCACGTGAAAATCGGTTCATTCATTCCAAAGTTATTGCCGTTTGAAAATTAAAAAAATTGTGTTTTATTAAACTGCTATTAGAGTTTTGAGCTTGAAGAGCTCAAAATGACATAAAAATCATATTTGTGAGCTCGAAGAGCTCAAAAACGTAATTGTAATTTTGAGCGCTTAAGTGCAAAATGAGCGGGAAGTTGCAGGGATGGCCTTTAGGGTCAACCGTCGTCCTAATTTTTTTTTTAAATTTAAGGTTATTTCCGTCACTTTCATACTCTCAATAATTGTCTTTTGGTTAATAAAAAATATTATTCATTTTTTTTTACCTACACAGTCTGTGCAAGAAGTTTCTATAGCGCGTGGTCTACACGCACAAACTTTCTTATAATCAATATCTAGTCATGAGTAAATAAACTAACCTAATGAATTCATCCACTGTAAGTAGTATGCATTAACATCAATTATACGAGTGATGGTATAATTCATGTAAGTCCTATAGTACACATTATAGGGAAGTTTCACTACTTCTATTTGATCTTTCCACCTGAATTTCTCTAATCGTACAACATTTTCCAGAAAACTACTAGCTTCAAGATTAGCAAGGTCAGCGTAGTATTCTTCTATCTTTTCATCATCCATCAACCCATCAGGATACGCAACGATATTTTTAATAGCTTCAACTTTCTCAATCGCATTTCTTCGTGTTTCTTCGTCAAACCACCCAACAGAACCCAAAATAGCTATCAATTTGCTCTTTATTTCGGTTAACATTTTTGTAACTACAGGTTTTACTCGCTCATCTAAATATTCCCGCACATATAAAGCATCAATGCTAGTTGGTAACAAATCTTGTACTAAACGTGAGCACTGGTAATTTTCGGTAGGATGAACTCTATTTTGTATCATTTCATTATGACGAAATGATATTTTGATCGTTGAGTTTTTTATATACGGTACCATTTTTTCAGTCATTTTCCACAGACCATAATTAGCCTGAATTCGCTTGGGAGTGTTACTTAGGATTCTGATGAGATTTTCTATATAAACGAAGCTATCCTTCAGTATGATCATTGTCGCGTTGTTAATTTCAACAAATGGTTGCGTTGTTGTGTTGAAAAATTCTGTCCAATCAACGGAAGGCCAACGATCAATTATGTCAGCAACAGACATTTCATTAGTTATTGTTGTGTTGCTGATCGATGAATCAGATGTTAAGTTATAGATGTTATCGAATAGCTTAAATTCAAATCTCACAGAATCCCAGAGGTCTTTTCTCGAAAGTTGCTGTTCAGCTCCAAGTAATTCGGAAATACGAACCATATAATTATAGTAAGCGTCGATTTTCATTCTAATTTGATCTGTTGATTCGTGGTATGAAAATTCGAAGGATGGTGCTTCAAACTAAAAAAAAAATAAATTTATTTCATGTAATTATTAAGGACTTTCAATTTATTAAATTAAGAAAAAATGTCATACATACAAAAAAGGCGTGAGTGTTATTTTTATAATAAGTTACTCCGAACTTCAAGAATGCCTCATAAAAATTATTCATCCGATGTGATGAATTGACGATCTTCAGCCAGTGGAAATTACTTTCATCCCAATCCTTTCCTTTCAGTACTGGCCAATCACCTAATTCCATCAACTGTTGTCTTAAAAATTGTATATCGTCACTACTGTTATCTGGAAATTCCAAATAAAAATAATCAGCCTTTGTTCCAACATTGCCTCAAGCATAATCAATTATTGAGAAATCCCAAATTTGTCTTCAAATAGCTTTCATTAATAACTCATTATTAATGTAATGAGTCATTGACGACCTTCTACTGATAGAAGGATCTCTTGATATTTCTCAATAAGCTCTGTTAGCTGTTAATAAATGGTTTTTTAATAAGAGATAATTTAATAAATATTTATTAACAGTTGATAAATCATTTATCAAATATTAATTAATGTTGATTCACAACAATTGATAAATTATAATTTATTATTATTATTATTATTAATAATTATTAATTAGATAAGTAATATTTAATGAGTATATTTATTGTTTCCAAATGAATTAATTAATCAATTATGAATAAATTCTTCTATTAGCGCACTTCTAATCTAACTGTTGGTCTCAGACTTCATTGTACAATTAACATAAGAAGTGAGGTACTTACGATCTTTTCCTTCCGGATTTATGCAAGATGAGTAAAGATTTTTAATTAATTTTTGCGGTTTGAAATTCTTCGATGTATTTAATGTCGCCATTATCATTTTGTTGATTTTTTCTGGCATTTTGGCTCGCAATCGTCCATATTCACTGTGCGATCGTTCAATCAAACTCCCAAATGATTTATTAGGAAGCTCAAAATTACCACAGGCGTACTTATAAAAATTATCACAAGGATCTGCACTTGAATTCATTCTTTCCACCAAATTCAAAGCTATAAATCATTAATAGTATAAATATTGTTTTTAATTTGTTGGTTAATTAATATTATAATTGATAATAAAAATTTACATGATTTCAATCGAACTATTGAACATTCTTGGGTTGTACATTCTGAAGAACCTGCAATTATTTTTTATCAATGAATTGATAAATTAGAATATTAATAACATTGGTAGATTTATCAAATTAAAATATGTAAGCATTACCTGGCTCAGAATAATTCCCACGTAAATCGTTAGTAAGTGTGACAGAGAATAATATAAACAGTATTGTAACTTTAAAAAAATAATCTCCGTGTCTAGAAGCCATAGTTTTAATGACGACTGAACACTGACTAACCAAAGCCGTCAGTATTAAATTAAACTTTAAATCAAAGGTATAGTACAACAATAGTAATTATTAGTTAATTTTATAAAGAGATAATGAAATCTCAAAAAATACCGGAATTCGTTGTAGTCATCAACTTAATTACTAACATTCATTAAATTTAACCTTAATTTAAGGCACACTGAAAAAAAAGTTTTTTTCCTCCTAGAAAACTTTTCCCTGAGGTTAAAAAAAAAGTATTCCTAAAATAAGAATACCAAAGTTTACTATCCATAGGAATAAGTTTACTGGATATAAAAAAAACTTGGTATTCTCATTATTAAAATACTACAATCAATATGGCCGACTTAACCTCGCTTGGTCGACACGAATCTTTAGGATAGATAATTATGAGAAACTATACTTTTTATAATTCTTCATTTATAAACAATTTATCACACTAAAATTAATAAAAATGGAAAATAGTATATTAAGCCTTTCTTTTCTTATTTTTAATTCTCATTGTTGTCAAAAAATTGCAATTTCTTGCTAATAGCATTATTTTACTAATTTACTAATAACATTACTAAGGTAAAAGACCTAGTTATTGACACTTGCAATTTTATTTTAATTAAAAAAAATAAATCAACTCTGATAATTTAATAAACATTATATTTGAATTATAAATTTTAAAATAATTGGTTTTTTGAGAACATTTTATTTTTTTAATTAGAATAAAATTGCAACTAGGCCAGTGAAAATAACTGGATCTTTTACCTCATTATAAAAATATAAAAATTGATTATAATAAGGAAAGAATGTATTGCTAAAAATGAGTTATAAATTTGTTGGAGATGATAAATCCGAACAAAAACAGTTTCACTGTAAAAAAAATCGCGCCAAGTCCACGTTCATAAGA